CAGATGCTGTACGAGTATCTGTATCTCAGACTGGCAGACTGACTGCGCGAGGAAGCAAAATCCAATCTGCGCCAGCAGCCAACAGCCAGCAGCCATTCCGCGGCCGCTAAAAATAAACTCACCTTGAAAATGTTCTAAAAATTTTCTCGCTTCTCGTTTTTGAAATGAAAAACATACATATAAAGATAATTTTATTCAATTTCAACGAGCCAAAGATCTACGATGTATCTCTACAGACGTGTATCTGTATCTGTATCTCTATATGCAAATGATATTTTTCATCTCTAGTTATTCAAGCGATCCAGAAAATGATTCGAAAATGATTTTGCTTGGGAATACACTTTATTCGGGTTTAACCTTTATGTAGATTCACACACACACTCGCCCACACTCGCACACACTCGCACACCAAAGGACTGACTATTTAGGGATGCAAAAGGGAGGGGGAATATCAGTTGCCTCAGTTCGGTTATTGTATAACTCTCTAGACATACTCTATACTATTCAGATTATACACACTTTGCTGCTGCTGATCGGAGGATGCGATTTGGATGTGGATTTTGGACTGGACACTGGACACTGGACACTGGACTCGAGATGCGGCTGTTGGCGTCCGAGTGGTTCCGATTCGGGACTTGCTTTGTGGTTCGGTTGTGACTTTAATTTGAATTGCGGATTTCGAGTCTCGGTTCGGTGTCTGTTCTGTGTTTCGGGTTTCGGGGTCTGTGCTTCTCGGTGCTCCGATAGAGTGTTCGGTGCCAGCAGTGACAGTTCGGAAGACAGTTCTTTTGGGGCGACGTTAACTAAGCGACGATTTTCTCTCAACTAAAGCAAAAACCGAAACTGAAAAATTTGATGTGCATTTCGCTTTACTTTGTCGAATGGGAAAATCTTTTCAACCACAGCGCTGGCGCAGTCGGTGCCGCTGCTTTTGGGCCGTGCGAGAGTTATATAGCAGCCCCGCACAATATAGACAGACATTGTTGGTTCTCAATTCCCCACCGATACGAGAGGCAGCGGCTACAAAGCTACAACAAAATGCCAGACGGCTGCCAATGTCTGTCTGCCTTCTGTGTAGTTCTTAGATTTTCTTGGCTTTCTTCGGATATACTATATGTTGCTATTTGGCTAATTGTTTGTATTTTGTTTTCATTCCCCGACCATTTAGTGGCACACACGGGTGTGTACAGTGCGTTTCGTGGCTGTAGTGGGGCAGTGAACTCTCGATTCGATGCATCTGTAAATTGAATAACTTTGATAACTTTTGCTAAGCTAAGGAGTACTTTTTGGGTACACAAACTAAACCATTACGAGGGACCAATTGTTATGAAACGCAGCGTTGGCACGTCTGCCTGTTGTTTACAACGAAGTAGTGCAGGTGCTTTCGGTTTCAGTTTGGTTTCTAGGTGCTGTTTCCGCTTCTGCATCTGTTTGTGTGAGGCAACCATTTCCGTGATCTGTTTTCCATTCAAAAAGGAATGCCCGAATCCTCAGAGGATGATAAGAGCTAAGAGCAATCAAATGGATGGTGACTCATCGCTGACTCAATCCGAAACATCCATTAAATGTGTGCCAATATTCGATTAATCAATCACGACTCTTCAGGCCTTTCGGGGTCCTCCATCTTTCGCGGCAGGGTCCGAGAACCTGATGCCGCTCGAGAGAATATTAAACCATAAAACATTTAATGCTAAAATGTTGCACACATCTTTTTCCATCACCCCCGAAGCCTCAATCATGCACAAAAAATACGAATAGTTCGGAAAAACATGGCGGGCCTAATGGATAAATGCGAGTACATAATATTTGGATGCTCCATACATGCAAACATGTGTAGTACACACACACACACACACACACACACACACACACACACATATGTGAGCATTACATTCATACAAAAAAGCTCCGAAGAAGAGCAAACAAACAAGTAATAAACCCATCGCTCTTCCTCTCTCTCCCCTGCCTATCCATCTTTCTGTCTATCGCACTTTTTGTGTGGTTCTTGGAGGGGAAAAAAACAATTTGAGCATTTAATTAAATCATGTTCGGAGTGCGGAAAAAACTCCACTCGCTGCGCGATTCAATCAAATCACTAAAAATGTTGCCAAAATAAAAACAACCAGCCTGCAGCCTGCTATCGGGGTGGGGAACGGAGAGGGGCCGCTTGTCACACGATTAAGAAGGTCCCAGCGAATGGGCCTATGGCAAATTGTACATAAAATTCGGTTTAAAGACCGCATCTCTCGGTGATCTGTCAGTTTGGGTTTCGTTTTCGCTTTTCGCTTTTGTTTGTTGGTTTTTGTTGCTGCTTTTGTTGGTTTTAATTGCGTCAAGATGACAGTTAACTGTTACACAATTGGCTTGCGGCTAACACTTTTGCTTTTCGGTTTTATTTGGTTAATGGCCAAAGTAAAGTATCTACGCTTTGGTGGATGCTGACTCAACGCAGCTCAAATTCAATTCGACTGATTAACAGCCCACGGGCCAGTGGTCAGTTTTTGCATTTGTTTTTTTGTGTATGAATCACTCGAATCGAATCCACGAACGAACCCTTTGAATGGGGGAACCGGCTCGGCTTTGGGCGCTCGCTCTGCGTTTCATGATTCCTTTTGTTTCGGCCAAAAACAAGAACTTGGCCAATTGCAAATACACACACACACACACACACACACACACTGACACTTACACTTTGGGTCTTTAAACTTGGGGTTTTCTTTGTTTCGGGTCTGCGAAAATCGTCGATTCTTGGGTTCCTTCTGCTTCTGGCTTCGGTTTAAATTTCTGTTTCTGTTTTCGGTTTCTTCTTGTTGTTTCTCTGTTTCTGTTTCTGTTTCTGTGTTACGGTTCCGCTGGGGCGAGACAACCGCGCGCGATCGTTGCGTTCGAACGAATGTGAGACCGATACGGCCTGAAGTCGCTGCCAAGCGACTCTCGCGAATGCACACACAGACACACAGATGCAAAGAACCAGTCGAAATGCTGATCGACTACACGTAGCGACACACGACTACAAGGTACTCAGTATATGCCAAGAAATCTTGTAGGCAGATGGGCGCAATGCTTTCATTTCTCTTCAGTATGGAATATCACAGGTCACATCAAGCTATACGATCAAAAGGTATACCCTTGAGCACAGGGTACACAAACACCCACACACACACATGCACACGCTCGAGAGAGCTCTCTTCCTTTCTGTCTCTCTCTCTCTCTCTCTCTCTTGCGCTGTGGCTGCAGCAGCAGCAGAAATCAACAGGTAAACAGCCAAAACAGCCCAAAGGTGTGCGAGTTACTCTCACTGTATCTGCGCTGGTGTGCGACACTTGCTGATAAGATAAAGAGAAGCCAAAGCAGCGCCAGCAGCAACGGCAACCGAAAAGCCACCCGAAAGTTCTACAAGCTTTTCCCCCACCCTGGGAACAAAACGGGATCGGGATCGGGATCAGCCCTGCGCTTGGACTCAGGGATCGGGACTGAAGTCTCATTCTATATTTAGGCTGCAGGAACTGGTTCCTCCAGTTTCCTGATAATCTGGGTGACGGCTACAGGCCCCAACTCCGATTCTGCAGCGACCGTCTGATTTTCCTTTTCAGCGCCAAAAACAGAAAACAAAATGCACTTCCCGCCTGCCCGGCACTGGCCTGACCGGCCCTCGCACCTTCACCTTCCGCCCAAACCCAAACCCAAAAGGCGATCAAAACTGCGCAGTTGCACCGGAAACCGGTTAATGCTGATTCTCCGACTGCCAGCCATCACATCCCATCCCATCCCATCCCAACCCGATTCGGGCCCTTTTGCCATGATATTGACCAAGAGCCAGAGCCATGGCCAGAGACAGAGACAGAGGCCCGGCCCACTCCCCATTGGGTCGGTTGGACAGAAACTAAAAGTGCTAGACCCGTCATCCCGGGGTCTGTCGCGCTGGCTAATGCACGCGAAAGCGGCAGTAAATCATTTAGCAACTATTTTGTTGCCAGACCGCAAGCCCCCACAGACCCCCGATCCGACCGCAACTAAAGGAAACGACAACGCGCCGGCGCGTAGTCATCTTGGAAATGTCACGCATGCGCTGTTGGCATGCGCGTAATTGCGTTGAGGATGTGACGGCCAGAGGATGTCAATCCCCAATAACCAATCCCCTCCCTGACTGGGACTACAATTTAATGAGCGAATAAGCCAAGAAATGGCATGGCAAAGAGAGACCGAAGAACAAATAAATTATGTAATTGTGAACGAATGAAAGTGACATTTGTGCCGCCCATTAGAGTGCTGTGGCAGGACAAGCAGAACGACAAGCCAGTGATGAGGCGTTCAAATTGTTCTAACTAAAGGTATTTATTAACCAGCTGCACCCTGTCAGTAGCTTTATTTTCCCACTATTTCTATTTAGCCAATTCACCAACCATTGTTACAGACCAAATGTAGAGAGCGCGTTGCTGTTGTGTTGAATGCTCGATAGATGGCGCCCAACCAGGGTTCTTTGTGTTGCTTATTTGTTAAAACTTGTGGCTGGAAGCATTGCTGAGCAGCATTTTTTGCAACATTGTATAAGCACTGTTGTGCAACATTTTGTGGGCGGGAAATTCAAATTTGGGCCTGAAATCTGTAACAATTGTCGGCGCCTGTGCTTTAAAAAAAATATTTATGGAATTTCAATAAAATAAACTCAGCTTGAAAATATTCTAAACATTTTCTCGCTTCTCGTTTTTGAAATGAAAAACATACATATACAGATAATTTTATTCAATTTCAACGAGCCAAAGATCTACGACGTATCTCTACAGACGTGTATCTGTGTATGCTCGATAGATGGCGCCCAACCAGTGTTTTTTGTGTTGCATATTTGTTAAAACTTGTGGCTGGAAACATTGCTGAGCAGCATTTTGTGCAACATTGTGTAAGAATTGTTCTGCAACATTATGTAGGCGGGAAATTCAAATTTGGGCCTGAAATTTGTAACAATTGTCGGCGCCTGTGCCTTAAAAAAAGTATTAATGGAATTTCAATAAAATCTTCCACTTTGTTGGGTATATCACTAGACTGTGATCACCGATCACCATATATACAAGCATAGATTTGAACTTTATAGGAGATTCCATCGCCAGGATGCGACTGGAAATGCAGGGTCATATTGGGATGGTTCTCTCCGCCGCTGACGAGCCGAACATAGCCAAGGCCCTGATCGTAGCCGGTGAGCGCCCAGCTCCTGATGATCTTCGCCTCTTTCCCCTGCAATGGAAATGGCTCAGATTTGTGTCTCTGGAGGAGCATTTAGTTTAGCTACCGTTTGATTGAACACCAATTCATGCTCAACCACACGCTCTCCATCTTCGGGTTCCAAGAACACCATCTCGCTGTGGATCTGCTTCTGATATTTCCACGGGCAGCGGCTTGCCGCCCCTACACCCTCACCTAAGCTGCAAATTCCAATGGCCACGACAGCCACGAAGAGTCGCACGGTATTTATCTTCTCCATTATAGCCGTCGGGAAAGTGTTGCCTCCTCGATCCGCGTTGAATCAGAACTAATTAAGACTGAAAATGAAACCCAAATTGCAGTCTCAGGGAGGAGAAGCGGCAGCTAGGCGCTGTATTGATTTGATTTAAGTGGAAAATTGTTGCTTAAAGTGTTGCAAAATATGTAGCTAATATCGGTACAATGGCAGTTATCCATTCCTGAGCTTAGAGGCCATCAGAGGGCCGTAATTGAGTTGGCCCCCATGTCGAGTATCGAGTATCGAGTCTCGAGTCTCGGGTATCGTTTCGTGGTGTAGGAATTGCATTTCGCTCGGATGTTTACAGTTAGCGCTTGTCAACCAGGAATCACCGTTATGCCGCTGCAGGGCCCCAGGCGGATGGGAAGAGGGGAACAGAGAGCACAGCAGAGTGCAGAGAGCACGTGCCCATCACGATAAGAGGCGCAAACAATTTGACAATTTAATGTGGCGACAATCAACCTGCAGAGAGCACACAGACACAGACGGGCAGAACAGACCGCAGAACAGGATTCAGCTTGAGCAGCACTCCAGGACTCGCTGACAACATTAGCCCCTGCCCTGCAAGAAGGGGAGTCGAGTCTATAATTATAATTCCATTACCATTGCCAGCGCGAAGGAGGCGCGAGCCACTCGTAAAGAGCAGGGAGGAAGGGGAAGAGAGAGGGAGAGAGAGTGAGTGCAAGAGGAACAAATTGGAAAGGTGCTACAGAGGCAAAGATCCTGTGCGGATCCTGCGTGTGCCCATCAAAGACAATTGAGTGGAGTAATTGCCGAACAAGACCAGGAACCAAAAGACAGGACCCAAGAGTCAGTCAAGAGGCTAATGATGGCCAAGGATAATGCGGGCCCCGTCCTCGTGTTAATGTGGCCAATGCGGCCACCGAGCAGGTGAATCGCAAGACGAATGTTTCGCCCGAATGCGGAAGTATGCGCATTTCGTTTGATTTGCTGCAGCGCATCCACATTTGATGGAATGTCGAAACACCGAAGAAGGAACCCCCGTTCCGCCTGGCCAGCAAATTGTGATGCGGATGCGGCGGCAGAGAGCGCAGAACGGACTGCACCACAGCTGCCAATCCGTTGCTAAACCACGTTTTATGAGCCACCAGCAATAGCAAGAGCAGCAGCAGCAGCAGCCCCACCTGGTGGGGGTCGACGCGCATTCGGCGATAAGAATGTCATAACAAAAACTCCCAATTAAGTACATCAAACAGCGAGCGGAGGAGTAGCTTCAGCAGCAGGTTAATCTACAGCTTCAGCTGCAGCCACGGCAAGCTCATTTGCATCCAGGAGTTTCGAGGGCATGGCCATTCATCATGAGCCTCCTCGCAGCGCAACGGGTGACTGGGGGCCCAGGAGATGCTCCTCCTCGAGAGAGACAGAGAGTGGGAGGGGGAGGGGAGGGGGAGGCGCTGAGCAGACAGACGTGTGGCGTGTTGGCTCCTGTAAGTAGTTAACTCTGACTTTTATTGCCGCACAGTCGATGGACCACCGAAGGGTCATTGGCACTGGCCCCGGATCGAAACGAAACGAATCGAATCGAAACGGATCGGATCGGGTCTCCCGTTTTGCGAAAGATCTCCGCTCGAAGTTCACACCCAGATTCGAGATTCATTTCCGCCCCAGGAGAACGTCAAAGCAAGAGCCTGGGACCCAATCAATAGAACCCACAATAAAGGTTAATTATGTAAATGTCACACAGTTGGCTTCTGGCTACTGTGGCAGTCTTCCACATCATCGTTGTCGGTCTATTTCGACCATTCCAAATGCCCAATGCCCAATGGCCAATAGCTAATAACAATTCCAATTCCGATTCCGATTGAGAAACGCGCTCAGAGCCCACAATTTAATGGTCTCTGGCCTCTTCGCTGGAGGAAGGAGAAACATTTCAATTTTTTATTAGTTCACATTCGGTGTCTTAACCTGTTGTCTGACCGTCTGTCCGTGTGTCTGTCTCTGACGAGAGTCGAGAGTCGGAGAGCGTTCTAAATGAGAACATAACTGCTTCTGTTGGCCACTCCGTCTGTCGCTCTGTCTGGCTGGCTGGCTGGCTGTCTGTCTGTCTTGGCCAATTAACCCCTTGTTCCTTCATATCTGTTGGCCCTCGCCCTGGCCCTGGCCGAACCCTGTCTTTGCCGCTTTTTACGGTTTAATTGTGCCCACAGCCAGAGCCAAAGTCGCAGCCACAGACAAAACAGAGAAATCAATCTCGAATCTCGAAATGCGTTGACAACTCGCTCTCGTCCCAGCCCCAGCCCCAGCCCCAGCCCTATCCCCGAGCCCAGATTGCGAGTCACCTCTGGCGGGAGCACCTCACCGAGAGGTGCATTTAAGTGCACCTTTAGGAAATTAACCATAAAAAATTGCTTCATTTAAGCAGGCAGCAAACGGCAAACAGCCAGCAGCCAGCAGCCAGCAATCCCCGGCACTAAAAACTAACAAAACCGAGCGGTGGCAGGGCAGGGGGAAACACAATCTCCGAAATCGAGAGGAGAAAAAGTGTCAGCAGAGTCAGAGCAGAGAGAAAAGCAACGGCAACCCAAGGGCTCGGGTTGCGAGAGGCTCTGCCAAAGGCCAGAGGGCCATGCCCTAGAAAGCGGAAGCCCCACTGGAAAAAGTGTGAGAGCCCCGCAAACAATTACAAATCTCTTGGAGGAATATTTGGATTCATAACTCCATCCCATCATAGTCTCGGTCCTGTGTCCATCCTTTCTCCACCTAATTAAAGACCATTAATTGTGCCGCATGCTGCTGTCAGCCAATCCGTGGTCCGCCACGATCCTCAATCGATCCAATTCCGTTCCCATCCCGATGTTGTGGCAATGTCAAACATTTGGATCTGCTAATCGCGTAAAACATAACACCATTACCGCCATAAAATAAATTTTCTGCCATAATATCTGTCGCGCAATGCCGGGAGAAGGGCTCTAAGCCACAGGCACAGGCACAGCCACAGCCACAGCCACGACAACGACGACAGCAAACGACTGCAGCGACGACGACGACGGAGACGACATCTTGTGTCCAATTCCGATTCGATTGCAATTTCCAATTCCTCAACAGGATTTTGATTTATGCCGAAATCGCGGAGAGCCAAGCAGAGCGCAGCACAAAAACCAAAAACACAAATCAAACGCAAACAGCGCGACGAAACATTGCAACAATCCATGCCCCAGCCAGCCAGCCAGCCAGCCCGCCAGCCACAGATTCAGTTTCAGAGTCTCAGTCTCTGCATTAGCTTCAGCTCCATCTCTGCCGACTCTCGGTCTGTAGCTCCTGCTCCCATGTTGGCCAAGTGGCAACAAAAAAGGCCAAAACGAGCGCGAAATCCAAACGCGAGCGGCGCGCGCGTTTTTTGTCGCGCCAAATGGACACAGCAAAAAACGCCCCGATATCCGTGGACCCACTGATGCCCTGATCCTCTCTGCTCTCTGCTCTCTGCTCTGCCTCATTGATATTTCGAGCGCGAGCGTATAAAAATATTCTGTTGTACCTTAGGCTCCAATCCCAGCCAGGGCTCTCGGACTCAGGGCCCTGGCCCAAAAGTGTCGCCCGAGCGGGATCGTCGCGACGATCAGCGATCATCATCGATCCGGCTATCGATCTTGTCTGCTGTTGCCTGTCTCTGGTCTCTGGTTTCTGCTCTCTGCTCGCTGCTCTTCTCTCTGGTTGCTTTTTTGTGCGGCTTCCCTGCTACCAGTGGCTGTCAGTCATAGTCATGCCAGGGCATTCCAATCTGGCCATGATCAGGAGGCTTCTTTGGCTGATTCTGCATTCCTGGCCGTCAGTTTCCTTGCGCGCATCCTCAACGCCTTTTAGCATTGTTTATGAAGTGGAGTGGAGGACGTGCAAGGGCTCTGCCGAGGAGTGCCAGGATGCGGAATCGCGGCATCGCCGCCGCCGCCTGCACGTGATACAATTATGGCAGATTTTTTCCACTGCTGCATCCTTCGATCAGGTCCCTGTGCTTCTCGCATATTTAACGCGCTCTCCGCGCGGCACAGCACAGCACAGCTCCTACATTTTTTGTTTTTGTCGCGCTTTTGCATAACTTAAGGCTTGCCGCAATTGTTGCGGCAATTATTTTTAGCCAGCAGGCAGCTGGGCTCGGCTCGGCTCGGCTCCCTTGCCAGCTGATTTATTGGTGGCATATTCAGAGTAGCCACCGATCTGGCTGCTGCTTCGGCTGGGAAAGTTTTTCCCAACTTCACACCTCAGCCAAGTCCGACGGCTGCTCCCCAGGCGGCGGCCTGCTTATGAATTCCGCTCACAGTGCCACCAGCTTCGACTTCGATTCCGATTCCAATGCCATTTTCAGAGTCTGAGGCAGAGTCAGAGCCACAGCCAGTGGCAGTTCCATTGTCGCCTCTTCGAGGTGCATGTCTCCTGCCACCACCACCACCGCTGCGGGCGATCGATAGTTATGGTCGTGTCAGACATCCTGTAATTTTGCACTCGATGCCGGCCGCATCGCGCATCGCGCAACGAGCGTCGAGCATCTCGCGGCATCTGCCCCCATCCCCAGTTGCAGTTCCCATTCTGCTCTCCAGCTTGTTGCAACTTGTTGACACTTCATTGGCGCGCAAGTTAATTAAGGGGAAGCTCTCCTTGCCCCTGCTACTGCCACAGAGACGAGACACCGACGAGATACCAGAGACCACCTAGGGGGGCAAAAGCACTTCATTTACTCGTGTTACTCGGATAAAGATACTTTATTTTATTTAAATATGGTATTTAGAGATAGTGGGTGGGGGGATACTTGAGAGGGGGAATGCTTCTATTGCTACTATCTATATACACGGCTCAAACTGGGGGACATTCGGAGACGCTGCTCCACCTTAGTTGACAACCTCCACGCTGCAGTCCTCCTCCTCCTCCTCCTGCTGCTGCTGCTGCTGCTGCTGCTGTTCGTCTTCCTCGTCGACGGGCAACACCTCCTCGACAGTGTTCGCGGGCAGGGGCACATCCTCGTTGGAGCCATCCTGGCTGCTCTCGCACGAGCTGGAGGAGAGGCACTCCAGGTGCTCGCTCCGTCGCTGCCCCTCCATCAGACTCGCCTGCGACTCGCTGCTGAGCCGCAGCCGCTTCTCCGGCTTCTTCAGCAACTCCTCGATGGAGTAGGGATTCCGCTTTCGACTGTGACTGTGACTGTGACTGTGGCCATGCCTGTGACTCAGCAGCTGTCCCCGCGCAGCGTTCAGGGAGAGGGCGGCTGGCGAGGACTTGCCCGAATCACAGTCGCTGAGGGCGTCGCCAGTCGCACCGGGCGTTGACAGATCGATGGAGCTCTCCGACTTGGTGAATCCCCCGCCATTCGTGCACTCCGACTTGATGAATCCCCCGCCGTTGGACGCTCCGACGGCCACCGCCGCCGCTGCAGCCGCAGCCATGCCGTGGGGCAGATAGCCACCGCCGTAGGGCAGGAACTGGGCCCCCGTGGCGGCTGCCTGCATGTGGGCCTGCGTGTAGTACAGCAGCGAGGGGTTCCACAGCCAGTGCTTGTGCAGGGCCGAGTAGCTGAGATCCAGGCCCCCCAGTTGGCTGGGCACTGACATCCCTCCGCCACCAGAAACGCTCGCATTCACACCGTGTCCGTGTCCATGTCCATGACCATGTCCGTGTCCATGTCCGTGACCATGTCCGTGTCCATGGCCATGCCCATGCCCATGTCCGTGCCCATGTCCGTGGGAATGTTGTCCATGCCCATGACTGGGTGGCATCTTGGGAGCGGGCTTGAGCGGCATCTCCCCCCCTGTAGGGGTCATCATCATTGCTGGAGGCTTTGCGTAGCGTCCGCCGGTGGGCGTGGCTGTTGCCGTGGGCGGGGCATTGCTGCCTGCTGCTGCCTGCGTCTTGGGCGAGTGGCTGCTGTTGTTGTTGCTGGGCAGCCCGAACAGCTGCGAGGGCGTGGCATAGCCAGCTCCCGGTCCACCCGGGCCCCCGGCACCCGCTTGATGCGCTGCCGCGGCAGCCGCTGCATTCTGCTGGCTGGATGTCATCTCGTCCGTCCAGAGGCCGCTGTGCCGCAGGATGCGATTGATGGAGCTGATGGACGGCACGGAGCTGGGATCGCAGACGCGCTGCGCCTGCAGCTGCTCCCGGATCTCCCACGCGAACATGCCGCTGTTCTCCTCCTTCAAGCGAGTGATTTTCTTCACCACAGTGGGCGTGGCCACTTGCTGGAATAGCGATAGAGAGAGAGCGAGAGAGAGGGAGAGTTGGGTAAGATGAATTTGCGTATATAAAATATTTGTAGACAGGCTTTCCCTTTGCTGCTGCTTTTGAGAGCCTTTTCATGAGTCAATTGGCTTATCATTGGTATTGGATCACTTGTCTGTAGATTCCTTCCCCGATAAATCATGGAGAACTCCATGCCACCTCCTCGGCTGTCTCTGTCTGTAACCCTCTGTTCCTCATCCCCCGTGGAACGAGCCGACGATTAATTGCCGTGAAATTCAATTGTGCACCAAAGTAAAACTAAAACTAAACTAAAGCAAGTTGAAACCCTTCGCTGTGGGCGCGCAAACAATTGCTAAAATGTGCAAAATGCGCACACTGCTGGCCACGCCCCTTTTGAGCTGTCATGTTCAGAGATTTGCATCGGACTCCACTGTGCTGCAATGGGAGGGGAGCTCCCCCTCTGTGGCATATGTTAATTTGTTGTGGAGACTGGCAACGGTGGCGCCTCCGCTGCTCACGTGTGACGTGGCAATTCATTAAAAATTCATAAATACGCTTAAGGGCAAGCGAGAGAGGGAGAGGGAGAGTGAGAGGGAGATCTTATCGGGCATCTACACGCGCGCGCAGGCCCTTAGTTCTGATGGGTTATAACATGCTCTTGGGTCTGTGCCCCCCTGGCAGTGTCCCAGTCCCAGTGGTGGGCGGGGGGAAGAGGGATGGGGTTGGACACTTTATTGACCCCGCGTAGGTGTTAAATGCGCGTTTTGTTCGAGCGAGTGCAGGCGGTTATTGAATCACCATGTAAGTGGGTGGATGGGTGGATGGGTGGATGGCTGGATGGGGGGGAGCTACCCTTCGCCTCTGCCTATTCCATTGTGCACTTTGTGGGCGTTGCAACTACCGTTAATTAGGCGTTCTGTGCGCCGTCGACAAGCATCGCACCTGAACAATTGTTTGTGCAGGCAGAAGGGGGCGATGGAGAGGGAGAAGGACCACGGATGGTATCGTATGGGTCGTGATTCGTGCTTATCGCTCCAGTGAATTCCATTATCACTGGAGACAGTGGAGGAGAGGAGTATCACCATCATCATACCCAGGGGACATGGGGACATTGTCGTCACTTGTGGGTGCGGGTGTCCCTGTGTGTCTGTGCCCGTGAAGTGGAGCAGCTTAAACGGGAGCCACGCACTTGATTGGGCGTGCGAACCCGCCAGCTGACAGCCCGGGGGAAAGCGTGCTCCGGCTGGGCTTATCATCGGGTATCGAGCAGCAGCAAACGAGATTGATTTGTTGCGCCTGCACCCACGCACGACCCTCACTCAACCATAAAAGCTGTCACCATGGAGTCATTCCGTCCACATGGCGGTAGCCTAAAAACATGTAAACTATCTGTCGGGCTTCCTTCCCTTCCTTAGCTTATCTGCCTTTTCCGTGTTTCCATGTTTCTGTGATACTTTATGGATTTACTGCTGTGCGTTTGATTTTTATATAATCGTTTTGTTGATTTCATGCCCACACGCCAGACTCGATCCCCGAGTCCCGCACTCACCTTGGTCTTGCTGCCACCAATGGATCCCGGCCGTATGGAGCCCGTCTCATGGTATCGAGTCAGTATCTTGGAGACGCAACCTGCGCGAAAGGAGAGCAAGAGAAGGTGGCTGTAGTGTGCGGCAGGACTCGTGCTGGTGCTCGTGCAGCCAACGCTTACCATGGGAGACCAGCAGCTGGCGGGAGATATCACAGGGGCGGACTCCGCACAGGGCCAGTTCCACGATCCGGAGGCGTGTGCAGTCCGGCAGCGGGCGTCCATTGACAAAGACTCCGCCCAATTGATTGATGCCAGCTTGGCCTGGAAGGAAGAAGATTCACATTTCTCATTAGATTCGAGTTGGAGACTGCCCCTAAAGCTGGGGAATTTACGAGTACTACGCGTAGATACATCATGCCTCCTCCTAAGCCCCACACCGATCCAAAACCCTGAAAGATTTACATTGGCCTGCGAATAGTTAGTCGTCTTGGGGCCCGTGCCCAACGATCGTAAAGGGAGTATTCTTCACTCCACTCCAAGTAATAGCCGTATCTTCTGGTGTGGCACTTCTTTTTTTGGGTAAACGCTTAGAGATCGCATCTGGGCGGGGGATGGGGATGGGGATGGGGAACCACTTGGAACTCTGAGTTCATTAGCGGGTTATTCGACACTCCACTCTGGACTCGACACTCACCTGTATGTGGCATGATTGAAAGGCTGAAGAAGAAATCGATTCCCGGCGTCGTCGGTCACCCAATGTGAAATGTGATCAACAATTCAATCCAAAAGTGATTCGTCGCTGCCTCCGTGGGTCAAGTATTTTGGTTAAGTTCCACTGCTGCTGCTGTTTGTTGTTTAGTTAATCGCTGAATTTTAATCAAATTTCAAGCAAGACGCCATAAAAAACGCTTTGATGGATGTCGTCGTGGTCGCTGGCGCAGCTATTAGGATTTGCTGCTGCTGAGCCAGAGACAGAGGGGATACAGATGCTGATGCTGATGCTGATGCTGATGCTGCTTCTGCTGTCTCCTCAGACGTCGGCGGCCCACTCTCCGAAGAGTTTTTTTTTACGGCTTCCACGAAATCGCTGCTTGCTGCTCTGCCGCTCTCTGCCACTCTCCGGGCTGTGGCCAGAACCAAGCTGAACCGAAGAACACTGAAAATCTAGTAAGGAAAATACATAAAACTTAATTATTTTATAAAACTACTACGCGGCTCGGTTCGGGATTTAATGTGCAGTGGTTTATGTGCTCAATGGCCATGTCCACTGGCCACTGGCCACTGGCCACTGGCCACTGGATACTGGATGGTGCCATGGAGTTAGCTTACCTCACCGACGCGGCGGTAAGGAGTGCTGCACCATCATCCTCCACTGGATGGTGGTATCTCAAATTAGCTGCTTATCAGGCACATTCTCGACGCAGCGTGAACTGCTGCCCCATTATCGGAGGGGGTAGAGGAAGGGGCAGGCGGTAGAGGAATGGGAATGAGCACCTCCTCTCCGTTGCATGTCGCGTACACACACACACACACGCCAGAGAGTATATGCAAATGCCGGCGGTAACAATTAAAATGAATTTTGGCCAATTGCTCATTTCGGTAAATAACGTGGCTGGCCCAAACCCCGAAAAAAAGGAGCCACAGAGCCACAGAGATATGCAAATGGGCTTTCAGCAACGGGTTTACTGGCGGGTGGTTTCCGCTTCCTGTCGCTGGAATGAATCGGGCCTGGGCAGGATTCGAGCCTGTCGCCAGCCTGTCAGAGGCATGAAAACGCCCGAGAGCGAGCAGCGGTGCCTGAAGAACCGTATAAATCAAAAGTGTAACTGCTCTTATCCCGCCCCACTCCCGCAGCAGTCCACACTTTGTCATGGCCATGTTATTATGGAATTCACATTAGATTTAATTGCAGAGTCCTGCCGCACTCCCCTGTAGTCCTGGGGCCCGCTCCTTGGATACTTTTCAGCTCGTAAAATGTTCCCCCCAGGAAGGGCGCGTGCACACACGCACCACACTCACACATCCCGCCCGTCTCGGACTCTGAAATTAAGTTGTTCATTAGGTTTTTTGGCCGTCGACGGTTCTGTTCCGAGTTCTGTTCTCAGTGGTTTGCCGTCAAACGGGAAACTCGTGCTGGCCGTTAAGGCTATAAAGTTCGCAGTTGGCTCTTGGCTTTCGCCTCGTTCCTCTCATGGCCTGGGGCCTAAGCTTAGACCGCACCGCGATAAGGATTCCATTCCATTCCACTTCATCTCCATCTCCACCTTTTGGCCGAAACTCTTTTGTCGAAAGTGAAATAGACATTTCGCCCCAAAACCAATTTAGATGCAATGAGAAAGGGTTAACCCTTTCCCCCTCTGTAAACGTGCCGCTTCCACTTGGCGTGCCGCCCGACTATTTGCCTATAAATGTGGCCCTAATCGAGGCCAATGAGCACTTGAGCAGTCAAGCGGTTCTGGCAGGGTTTCTACCCCTAAATTGGGCCAGGAACTGGGACTCTTCCTTGGCATATCTTCCAGGGAGGAACTCCACCCAATGAGGAGTACTTCTCCATACTGAAAGTTGTTGGTTATCCGAAGAGAGAACAAAATGATTGCCACTATTGACAGAAGGATTTCCTCTTGGATAAGGGAGAATAGGCGCTCCTCACAGATGAGATCACGTCTAAAAATCGCATGCAAAACACATTTTCAGGTCCGGTTAGGAGGGAACATTTCTGGAGAAATTCGACTTGCGAGGGGGGAGGAGCAGTGGGAGCACTCATCAATGGGCCGTAAGTCTCAATTAGTCCGCGTGCACATGTCAAGCGTAACACAGACATAAAAACCAATAGAAATTAGTTAAACATGCAATAATTTAAATCGTGCGATTACCGAGAGTGGAACCGACAGGTTGTCCGAGCTTCTGTTTCGGATCTCCGAGCCCCGGGCCCCGGGCCCCGACCCCGGACGCCGGACCCCGGACCCCCACTGCTCGATCGATGGAGAGCCATCTGTGGGTTGCTGGATCGGAGGCTCGCTTCGGGGACTGCGGCATTAACAGCCGCTAATTAAAATAACAAAATTATAATAAAACGTACGCTTCACAATTTGAATATGATTAGCCATGGAGCAGCGCAGGGGATCTCATGCTTTTTCTGGACCACAGAAGAGACCGGCCACCGTCCACTGTCTAGATTTTAAGTAAGTTGTCCAGTGGCTTGTTGGGATAGAAAGCTTTGAGAAATCAATGAGCCATAATGGCTATAATGGCCACTGGTCGCAGGCCGAAGACGGCATGATAAAGAATTAATTAGCATACGATTTTTGGCTATTGTTGGTGTGCTCTGGGGGCCTACGTCTGGGGCTGCTCCGTGGGAAAACTGAGGGCGATGATTCGATGAGCGACCAGATCGTAGATCTGAGATGAGTTATCCGCCTGCGGCGGAAGTTCAATTGCGAATTGGGAATATTTTTTTGGATTTTTGCAATGCAAATTGGAGCTGCCAACGGGGACGGCTGGACGGCTTCCCCTCAAAGCTGGATATCGGAGCAATATCCGTCCGGTGGCCCCATCTATTCCGAATATTCATTCATAGCGGAGACGGCAGAGGCAGAGGCAGAAGACATGAAGACTGAATGGAGTTTTGGCTTCGTTCCGTTCCATTCCGAACCGTTAGATTGTCGTTCATTAAGACATAAGCCGGTCGGTGGACTGGGGGACAGCACTGAGCGATGTGTTGAACACGATAAGCAAATATCATTGTTAGGCCTTTCAAATAATGCCGCAACCTGATCGCCAGACTCTCGATTTAATGATTTAGTTATACTCGTCCGAGAGATCCGATTGGGGTACCGAATTATGCGCAAACAAATTGATTAGGATCGTTTATGGTGGTCATTATGTGTGGCAGGGATGCGTTCAGCTCTTAATTAAGTCTCCAATAAGTCAGCGACATTATCTCTTGTCCACTATCGGAACAATGGAGGCTTTCCACTCACCTTTTCGAGCTCCCTTGAGAGTTGGGAGGGCGAAAGAGACGAATCTCTGGAAGTCCACTTTGCGTAAACTCTGCTATAATCAATCCTCTTAGCACTTGTCACAACTTCACTTTCCGCTCAAGTTTCCGATACAGAGCCCTTGGGGTACACTTGTTTCCGCGCTCTCTGGCTTATCCTGGCAAATCAGTCAGGTGGGGGTAGCCTTGCTCTCGGGTGTTTCAGGTTTTCGGGTTTTTATTCGGGGAGTATCGCGTCGCGGCGCACCTTGTCACTCGACCGTCAAAATTTCGACTAAATGCACGCGAAACGCGCTGCCAGCGCATCGATCATTCTCTGTTGTGGAGTTTAGCGCCCGCGGTCCATCAGCCAGCGCTGGCTACTGCGAGACTCCAGCACCAGCACAAGCACAACCAACAAGCAACAACAATACCAATGCGAAGGCCCAAAGCGAAACTGAAAACCCACCGCAAGGCACGCACACACCGAACGAATCTTTCACGGCCTCACGGACGGTAACGTTTTTCTGGTGTAACCGGTTTTTCACGGCACCGCCGGCCGCCAACCGCCACAGTCCCAGCCCCCACATCAACGGTGGGCCAATGAGCGTGCAGCGTTGGTGCGCATGCGCCTGCCGCTGCGGCTCGCGCACTCCCATTGGTCGAGCCCATGGTCGAGTGTGACTGTGGCTGCTCTTCCGCTGCGACGAGTTCCCCTCCCCCAGAGGCACACTCGACACAGCGCACAGTGGGTAGCGAACGAAGGGGCAGCGAGATTATAGGTGCAAACAAGAGAACGAAGTTTCTCTGGAAGATTTGGACATGGAATACCAGAAGGGACGTGGGGACGGAATGATTTGTGGGGGAAAAAAAGATGAAAGTCGCTTGAAAATGACTAAATAAAATTCAAATTTGTCTTGCTGCTGATAGAAATGGTTTGCTAATTCAAAACATTATCATTATCACTATCGTAGAGCAAACCTTTGCCCATTGGCTTCTCTTCTTTTGCTTTTTTGGTGCATTTGTTCCACTGTGCACACGCCTGTCCTGTCCGTCCTTCGTTTTCTTCCGTTGAGTTGCGCTTCCTGGGGGTAGTCGTTGCCGTAGAGCGTTGCGGCAGCGTAGCCGTAGCCGTTGCCGTTGCCGTTGCCGTTGCAGCCACGTTCCGGCCAATCGGCAGAGGCAGAGGGCAGGGCAGCGTCGCACATCCGCAGCTGCAGCCGCAGCCTCATACCCATACCCATCCACTTCCACATCCACATCCACACACTTCCCGGATCCGAACCCATAGCCGTTACCCTGGCGAAACAGCCACAGCTACGGCCACAGCTACGGCTGCTTCCCTTCCGCCTTCCATCCTTCCTCCCCTGTGACCTCTCTGCCAGTGGGCTGAGGGTGGGGTGGGGTGGCTCCTGGCATGGGTGGTGGCGTTAAGTAACGCTTGGCAGCGGTGCCTGCCGCAAGGGCGTTAATTGAATTCGACAATTGTCGGCTGTGGCATTCACAATCGAAAATGAATTTCCAGTGCGACTGGCGCTGAAAGATAAAACTGTCATTTTGCTTGTTGATTGTCAAGCAGCGTAGGGAGGGGAAGGAGAAGGAGAAGCAGAAGGAGGGAGCCTCGGGGTGTGGCAGGGTGTAGGTAGGCTAGATATATTGATCCATAAATGGGACAGAAAATAATGGAAATTAGTTGAATCTTTCGTGAGGGAAACGCGGAATGACAGCGACTAGGTCCTAGGCCTGAATCAGTGTCGGGCTGTGGGCTAAGCGCCATGGATGGAGATGAACCCTTTTGTAGCCGCGTGGCACATGCAAATCCACTTGCCACCAAAAACCACAAAAACCTGTGCGAAAACATGCAAAATTCTTAGGCCCAGGCCCAAGGTGTGTCCGAGGAGGACAGCAGCGGCGGAAAGGGAGGAAAATGCTTGGCAGGTACTGCTGCTCGGCAGAGATAAAACTGTCACAAAGGTTGGGGGCAACACAATGCCAGCCAACAGCTTGTCCTGGTCCTCATCCTCGTCCTGTGCTCATCCCGGACAGACAGGCAGGCCTCCTCCTACTCGACACGACACTGTGATAGCAGCTGCCCGACTTTTCCCATGCAACCAAGCGCGGCATAATAAGATCAAGCGAGTCAGCCGTGCGTGGTGGCATCAACACACTCTCTGTGGCACGAGGACCTGACACTGCCACAGCCACTGCTGCTGCTACTGGTCCTGGGCCCACCCATCATGCAACGCCCAACGCCCAACGCCCATCGCCCAGCTAGCTTGTTCGTCACTCCTCCCTGCGTCTCTCCGTGTGTCTTGCTCTATCTGACAAGGCGATTATGTGACCAAAAGCCCTTTCAAGTGGCAGCAATTACCCAAACCCAGAGTCAAAACCGGAGCCCAAAGCGACCTACGCCCCAATTAAGGCGCACACACACAAATCTGTGTGGGAAGTGCGTTTAGCAAAGCCCTTGAAGTGAGTGCAAAGAAACGAATACGAAATACCCTCTGCACTATTCATCTTTTTAGCCATCCATCCATCCATCTCTTATTCAACCATTTATTCATATGCATTCTTCTATATTAACTCTCCTCCATTTGTATTTTTAATATAATTATCTGCTTATTATTTTAATATTATCTCATTATATCTATCTATGTATTTATCTATCCATTGCTCTTTGTACATTGCATTATAAGCCATTATCTAGCCATCTATCTGTAGTTCTAGGCATCTACATTTAGGTTTTCCTCTGCTCTCCTTTCCTTTCCTTTCCTTTCCTTTCCTTGCTCTCTCTTGACAAACTTCTCGTTCGGTTTGATATACCCTCCGCTCCTGTTGGGACAGGGCACTCTCAAATGAGCAACGGAAATGGGAAGTTTGGCCTTTTCAGCGCCTCGAAAGGGGGTGGGTGGTGGCGCAATTGTAATAAAAAGGGGGCTGGCCAATCGGCTTAACTTCTTCCGATTGACTTGGTTTTCCACGCGCCCTCCCTCAGTCCGTCCGGTGCGATCGCTATCGCTAAACAGGAAAACTTACACTCGCTTATTTTGTAATTGAAATGGAAATCCACTCCACACTTTGGGCGGATATTTGTGTGTATCTCTGGGATGCGCAGAGTGGTGAGTCTCCTACGGGGAAGGGCAGGGAAGGGAAGGGAGCCGACACCCACATCACTTTTTGCCCCAATCAAAACCAAAAATCGAAATTCAAATTTAAATTCAGTTCAGAACCGCGCCACAGGCGACGCATTCCTTGATGCGTGCCCCCAGCTCATCATTATGAGGCGGCAAGAAGGATGCAAAAAACCAAGACAGAAGCTGCCTCGGCTCGTGCCTGGGGGCTGCCGTTGGATTCCAGGTCCCAGGTCTCAGGTCTCCTGTCTGCGTCTAGATTTCATGGTCCATTAATGAGCGGGGTCCGCCGCTGGAATTCGCCTGGGAAGCGGACAAAAAGTTTAATTCGCTGGCGTGGGCGCCCTTCTAGGGGGGAAATTAGTTGCTCGAACTTGCCACAAATTAACTGTTGCTGTTGCTGTTGCTGCCGCTGGTTTTTGCAGAGAGGGTCAAGAATATCCCGAAAGTATCTTTTCTAATTGCAGGGGCGGCCTAATTGAGGGTTTCTCTTGCTTTCGCTGGCATCGCATCGCTCGGTGCCTCTCTGGTCCTTGCAATCAGCAGATGCAAGCGATTCCCTGAAAATTGTTCAACAACAAAAAGAGGCCCAAGGAGAGGTAGGATGGAGTAGGAAGGATTCCTGTGTGCGGGTCGCCAAATTGGCGCAGGTTACGCATGTGCCTCAAATCATGAGCATTGCTGCAGCACTCTGCCACGCGATGATGGATGCAGTCAGGCAGGTTGCAACGCAGACTCGCCTCTTGCCTCTTGCCTCACCGATGCACCTTGCGTCGGGGACACGCGTGGCACAGACAGACAGACAGACGGACAGCAAATACCCAGAGGCCCAAAGACAATCGGGCAAATTTTGTTAACAGTTGCCGCCGACAAGGACAAGAACAAGAACAAGAACAAGGCCGATAAGATAAAAGTCCCTATCGTTGGACTATCCGCTGCAACATCTCATGCCGCTCGTCTAGGAGTTGCCTTTGCCACAGTTCGTGCCACAGTTGTAGGCGGACTGCTGCACGCGATTTGCGAGTGCCATAAAAACCCCGAAAGGAACTGGGGCACACGGGACAGACAGGACACAAGACGAGTGGCATGTCAAAGCCAATTAATAAAAACGCAATTTCCACAAATCGAAATTTTTATAGACTTTACAGAGTTTTATTGATCCATCTAGGACATTCCACACCTGCACAAAGGGCCAGGACCGGGGCCGGGGCCGGGACCGGGGCCGGATTGGGCGGGCAGATAAGCAAAATGAGCAATTACAGGAGAGGACTTGACAGGACTGGCCGACGCAACGCGACGCAACGAATTTTCTCACATTAAGCGACGAGCAGCAGAGTCCTCGCTCCACTGAACCCTGACACTGGGAAAATGGCCGACAACACTCAGAGGGAGACGGAGACGGAGACGGAGAGATGGTGAGACAGAGACTCTACTCTCTCGCTGGTGAAAGAAGGGTGAGTCCTGGCCCCGAAAGTTTGCGTGTGCGGCAGGAAGATGGCAACGAAGGAGCCGGAGCAGGACCTTTGCTTGCGATAAATTAAATGTCTGACATAATTATGGCCAAATTGAAAAGGAAAGAGGCGCAGGAGCGAGCCGCAAGGAGCCATTGACACAGGGACAGGACTCTGCTGGCGAACAGGACATTTATTGTGCCATAAAAACAGAAATTATTTGATCAAACACAATAAACACGACAACATCGGGGCACCGCAGCTCGAAGCCCTCTTGAAGTCGCTGACAGGCTAATGATAGGATGTGCCAAAAGGATATCCAATATAATAGGATCCCTATAGAGATTGGACCGACAAATCGATTGGGGAAAGCCTTGTGGCCTTCTGGAACTCTGTGAACTCTCCTCTGGATGCCCCCATTCCGGAGGGGGCCTCCTCCTGGAGGTGTGTGTGTGTGAACTCCCCGAACTACCCGAACTCCTCTTGTAATTATGGTTTTTATGGCTCGCAACGCCTCTGGAAATCGGCTAACACACATCATAGAATCAAAATCAATTAAACGCTTGTCTATGCCATTCTTTGCCTCAGCCTCAGCCTCAGCTCCAGCTCCAGCTTCAGCTTCAGCTCCAGTGAAGCCAGTTCCCATTTCCTATACCCATTGCCCAATGGCCTGTACCCGAGATCGGCCAAGTGCCGCGTCCAAGCCAGCAAAAGTGTTAAAATAATCATAAAAACTTTGCCACTTCGAGGTGGCTGTGGCTGTGGCTGTGGCTGTAGCTGTAGCTGTGGCACTGATGTAGCATCGTTGCAATCGTAAACCGAGAACCGAAAACGCGGAAAGCGTTTGCCGTCCATCGCTCTGCCTAAATGCAATATTTTTATGATGCCCCAGTGCATCGGTCTTTGGCTGTCCCTCTCGGAGACCCAGTCCCTCTGCTCCCCCTGGCAACTCCATGCTCTCCAGCTGCAGTTCTCCCATTTCTCCAGTTTCAGGCTGTGAGTGATCATTCGGTCCGTTGGGCCCTTTGGCGGTGGTCGCCGCTCCGCTGGACTCTGTCGACTCTGTCGGGCCAGGAGCAAAAGTCAAATACGGTAGCTCGACTAATTGAAAAATTAAAGGCCAGTGCTTGGGCCAAGTACTTGGGAGTAGCAGTGCTTTGCGTGGCACCGCCCACCGCCCCATCCATCCATCCATCCATCCATCTATCCGTCCATTCATCCGTCCGTCCATCCGTTCATAAATCTTGCGGCATTCCTGCAGCCAGCTCGGCCCATTGCTCGCTCATCCGAATGGTTATCGAGTTAGGCAATGCCTCTGGGGTCGAGTTTGCCTAGTTTCCCCCTCTCCAGCGCCCACTCCCTGTCCCTGTCCCTGTCCACCGTCTGTCCATCCTGCCCCAGCTCCAACTAAAGCCTAATGTGGCAGGCTGCACACCTTGCTGCCACAACACTTTAGGGAGGAGGCAACCCAACCCAACCTCCCGACAGGCTGCTGGCTGCTGGCTGGCTGCTGGCTGGCCGGGGCAGCGATTATCGGATCGAAGGTAAACACAGGTTCTGCACTGCCGAAATAATGTAATGCTGCCAAAAATCACTTCTGTTTTTTGCACCCGATCCCTGATCGACGTTCTTCGATCTCACCTTCGACGATGATCGTCTGGCTGTCTCTTGTGTGTGCAGCTGCCAACTGCAGCGAGCCCCGAGTGCAATTTGCGAGCAAGGGAGCGATCCCCGGATCGGATCGAGAGGCTAACCCCAGGGTGTGCAATCAGCCCGCGCGATCAGACGAAAGGGTTAGTACATAGTCCTTAATGCCCACGTTGGATCCGACGTTCCCTGTGCCTCTGGGGACTGTGGGGACTGTGGGGACTGTGGCATTTATAAATTATAACTACATTAAGTGCATCAACAAATTGCAGACACTTGGGGCGTTTTTAACAATGTCATTTGGGGAGGGGACGGCACTACAGGAAGAGCCGCCACCCAGACCCCGCCAGAGAGGTAACCACTCGAGAGCCAACCATAAATTAACCGTTTAATGTACTCCTCGCAGGACACAACAAAGCTGTTACAATTGTCCTTCTCCGAGTGCTGTCTCCCCTCCCTGCTGTGGTTGTGGTGATGATTTTCTAATTTATTGCCTTATAAACATAATCAAATTCGCATCACAACAAAGCGAGCAACCCAGAACAGAACACTAGAGAATAGAGCCACTCCCGAGTCCTCGGGGGTCGAAACACACGCGGCATGCTGCTCTTCGGGTGGGGGCATAATGATGACAGATCAGAGCGCATCCACACAATGGGATGATCGTCGGGGTTCGGACTCGGATCCGCAACGGCTATGCGGTTTACGCTTGGATTGCTCTCGCTGCTGCCTCCCTCTGCTCGATGGAAGTGATACTTAAACACCTCTGAAACGCGCACAGATTGTCGAATAACCGCATATGTCGATTGTCCTTGTCCTTGTCCATTGTCCTGGGCTTGTTGGCACAGCAACGTTACGTGTCATTAACTCTCCCAACTCCGATTCTGACTCTGACTTTGTGTGGCTGCTGACATTTCTATCTGTCCAACGACTCCACGTAATTGATGCGCTTCCAAGTGCGAAATTCACGGCAGGTGTCGGATTATGCATATGGAATCAATGCACTCCCTGCCCCGAGGGAGGGCTGCCAGCGAGGGGTGGAGAGTGCGCAGCGGAAACTTGAATGTTCGCACATTTGCAGCTCATCAATTTTCGGCATTATCCTCGTCGCAGATCGTCAGCAGCGGCAGTTCATTCAACCTATTTATGGACCTTCTTCTCCATGGTCCATGTTAGCGCCGTCTTGTTGACTTAATCGCCCCAAAACAATTTACTCTGGCTCTCTGGCTCTGGCTCTCCGTCTCCGAACATTTCTTAAACGCTTGTCGCCTAATGATGGGGCAGCAGCAGCGGATCCATCGCTGCAGCTGGAGGCATGAAAATGATGCTGAGGAATGGGCTGCTGAGGAGCTGTGCTTGCAGCCCGCTGCCCCACCGCATTATTAAGCCATAAAATTGAAAACTTATTATAATTACATAAACGTACGCCTCAACGCCTCCAGACATGGCAGGGAGAGGGCACTCCACGATGCATGGATGCTCAGAGTTCGCCTTTAACGCGCTCCCAAGAGGCAACCAACGAATGATTTTCGGGGCACACGCAGCATCCTGCGCCTGCACCGTCCGCGAAGTTGCATTTAATGACCAAAGCAGAACAGATTTTTCCCTCAATGTTTTGGCAGCGCCTCCTTGCCGGCGGCATAATGAAGGGATTGAGGGGCTTGGCAACAAGCTGCAACGAGTGCGCGTAGCTCTGGGCTCTGCTCTCACATTATCGACATTACCATTGCCATTAACCATTACCATAACGCAGATCTGCACGGAGCTTGATGGCCTGCCAATTGCCGCTGCTACGGTTACACACGTGGCCGGGCCACAGACCACATGCGTTGACAGTGGGCACATTTCGAACTCTCTGAAGATGGCAAATAGCTCTATCGAGGAGTCATGCTGATTAAACTTAAATAACACTAAAACGAGCACAAATGAGTCGCTTGCTTGTTGCCATTTATTGGAGCAAATGTACAAGCATTTAGTAGAACATTCTCTCTCACTCTCCCTCGTTAATACAAGTTACGAAATTAATTGTATTCCCAATCTGCGATGTGTGGGTCTGGCGCTCCTATAAAGCTTTGCATAATCAAACCGATTCCGATATGGAAATCGGCTGCTCTCTGTGACCCACACTCTCGCTCTCTCTCTCTTATTCTCTCCCTCTTTTAGTGCAAAAACAAATGACGTTGGCAACGAACGTGACATGCAGCGAAGAGAGCATACGAGAATTGAGACTGAGACTGAGACTGAGAGCGAGAACTTGTTCCCAAATCGAGACGAAATAGGTGTTCGTGCCACTAATTCCTATCAGCTGTGTCTTATCAGACAGTGGCCTCGGGCGAGGCCTACGCAGAGTTATGCCTCATTAAATCAACAAATAATAAAAAAGCAAAGTCAAGGAATTCTGCCTACATATATCTACTATCAGTGAGCGAGTTACAGAGGAAAGCTTTGGCAGCAAACACACTTCAGATATGGTAATCAGTGGATCCCTCAAAGGTTCGGGTCTAAATCTTTCATTTATGCATTGGAAATTGTTACGATTTGGATTTGTTTTCACTTCCTTGAATGGTTGCATCGTTTCTCCGTCGATTGCTCATCAAAGAAAGTTCCTTAGGTTGAGTTGTGTGCAAATGTTTGGATTGTGTATTTGTGGTTTATCACAGTACTAAGCACTTGAGTTGATCTACTTAGGGTTAGCTTTTCCCTCTGGAGCATCACTGTTCCGGCTTGCGGACAAAGACCTCCTGCATCTCGACCTCGGCGGGGGCTCGACGCTTACCGGAGCGGAACTGCTCCTCGATCTCGAGCAGCGTGCGGCGTCGAGTCTCGGGCAGGGCCCAGTAGATGAAGAGCATGGCCAGGAGGGCCATGACGCCGAAGAACACGAAGCACTGGCTCATGCCGATGGCCGCCTTCAGGTCGGGGAAGGTCTTGAGGCACAGGAAGGAGATGAACATGCCGACGGCCACGGTGAGGCCCGAGGCCGGGCCACGCACCTTCTGCGGAAAGAGCTCCGAGATCATGAAGAAGGGCAGCGTGTAGAGGCCGAGCGTGCTCAGCACAATGAAGCCCACGATGGAGACGACGGGCAGGTAGGGCACGTCGCGGAGGAGAGAGCTCCAGCTGTGGCCGGCCAGCAGGAACATGCAGGCGCCCATGCCCAGAGTGGAGATGATGCCGGCCCGACGGCGGCCCCACGCCTCCAGGACGTAGCCCATGGGGCAGGTGGTGAGCAGGCGGGCCAGGCCGATGAGCAGGGCGCACATGAAGGGATCGATGGAGATGCCAGCCTCCTCGGAGATCTGCACGGCGTAGACGATGACCACAAAGATGCCCGTCAGCTGCTGGAAGGCGAACAGGGACATCAGGATGAGCAGCGGCTTGTGCACCTCCGGCAGCCGCAGGCTGCGCAGGAACGACGCCTTCTCCTCGGCGTCCCGCAGCTGCAGCGACTTTTGCAGCACCTGGAACTCCTCCAGCACCTGGGGATGCGTAATGTGAGCTGTGGGGAGAAAGAGAGGAGAGAAAGTTGCACCAGGGAGCCAAGTGGAGCCAGAAGAAGGGCCAACGCTACTCACGTGACTTGTCTAGGCCTCGGAAGTAGTTAAGCGACTTCTTGGCCTCGGCCACCCGCTTCTTGGCCAGCAGCCAGCAGTGGCTCTCGGGCAGGGGCAGGACGCAGAGCAGGGCCACCAGCTGGTAGCCACAGCAGATGAGGGCGATCAGCCGGAAGTCGTCGCGGATGAAGTACCCGATGCCGTAGAGGATCGTAATGCCACCGGCCACCGAGATGGAGGTGCCCAGAATGAGGCTGCCCCGCGTACGGGGCACACTGATCTCCGCTGCGTACACGCCAGGCGGGGCGCTGGCCAGGCCCATGCCAATGCCTGAAAGAGCAATCGATTAGCACCGATCGGCGCAGATCGTTCATCGATGGACATACCCAGGATGAAGCGGGAGACGATGAGCTGCCAGAAGAAGGAGTGGGAGTCCGTTTGGCTGGCGGTGGCCAGCAGGATCCAGGCAACGATCGTCAGGATGTTCAGCACGACCAGCGTCCGCTTGCGCCCGATCTTGTCGAGCAGCACGCCGGACAGCAGGCCTCCGAGCGGTGCGGCCAGGGCGTTCACCGAGGCGAACCAGGACGCCTGCGTCCCATTTAAGTGCACCGGCTCCGTCACATCCTTCAGCTGGTCCAGCGTGACCGTGGGCAGGGCCAGTGTCATGCCCGTGGACAGCACGCCCACATTGGCCAGGATCACGGCCATCGCCTGCCGCCTCACGGCCCGTGGCTGCTCGCCCAGTGGCTTCGTCTTCAGCGGCCGGTCCAGCCCCGACACGATCTGTGCCTGGCGGCCATTGCTGGTGTGTAGCTCGTCGTCTGTCAGACCCATGGCCGAGTCACGTGCCGGTGTCCGGGAATCTCTGTTATCTCCTCTACGACCTGCGAGTAGAGTAAATGCAAAGTGATGTAAATCAAATATTAGCATTCAGTTATCGTAATCCAACGTTGAAGACTCGACTGGTGACTGGTGACTGGGGACTGGTGCCTCTGCTTGTGTTTGCGCTATACGGAGTCCGCTTTTCGCATCAACGCGAAAAACCGAAAGCATATCCGGCTGAGGCTCTATAAAGTAATATTTTCCGTATCTGATAGCCCCGCTATGGCCCCGTTCTCAATTAGTCTCTCAATCTTTGCGATATCCTCCCCATCATATAGATAGATGAGCAACCCCATCATTCGTATATCAAATAAATCTTTATGGATAGGAATTCCCAGAAGAAGCTGTCGCTGAACTGTAGAACCTCCACCGATCGGTTAATTTCTCTTGTAAAACTGGTCTTGGGCCCTCGTGCTAGTCGTGCTAGACTATGGTTAGAATGAGAGTTGCTATGAATTATGAATTATTTTTAGTACTTTTGTTTACTTCTAAGCACTGGGCACACGATAAGGGCGTGCCATTAGATACGGGACCCTGTCCACTGTCCAGCAGCTGATTGTAGAACTTGACTGCCGGCTATTGCGTTTGGGTTTGGCTTTGTTTGTGGATCGCATGTGCTTGTGGATCCCATTGTTCAATCGCACCAATTAACAGCTATGCATCCACACAAATCAATTGAGCAATACTCACGCGGGCAGTGGGCAAGGGGGCAAGGGGGAGCTTCGCTTCTGTTTGAAGATGGATCGTTTGGATGGATGGATGGTTTTCCACCACGAGGGTTCGTGGCTGGGTAGATAACCTGCTGCCGAAAATCCACAGAGCGGGAAAACAGGTTCTGCCACTTCTGGCCAAAAGTCACGTCGCTGAGTTTATGGCCAAAAAGCGAGACAATACTTGGACAGAGGTCTCTTAGGGCGCAGCGGAATAGAGCGAACCCGTCGACGGCGAAACGCTGGAGCCAACTGAATGCCGCTTGCCACGCTGGACGCGCCTCAACTTGACTCAGCCCGACTCCTCTGCTGCTCTGCGGACCGCCGAACTATACGGATTTCTATTGAGTGAGCGCTCGCGCTCCGCTCCGCTCCGCTCCGCTCTCTTAACAGACTCTCCCATGTGCGGACATGCGGAGGCGATAAGGCGTATGCCCCGTTGCGTTGAGGAAACGTCACCGGCAGCGTCCGCTGGATTGCTGTTTGACTTTTGTGTGTCATGATCGTTTTGATCGCTGCTGATAGTGGGGGGACTGTTGTGGATCGATTTTTAGTTGGATTCTTAAATAAGTAAAGAAGTTCTCTCCCTGTCTCTCCCTGGCAATCTTCTACGACAGTGCGCAGTAGTCTTATCGGATCGGTAGACATAACCTTTACACGCAAAATGCAAATTAAATGCCAATAAATACTTAATGAGGCTCGCGCACAGCCCGGACCAACATCAGTTGCTGGCTGTCATCACTGTTGTTGCTTTGTGGGACATCAGACAAGTGGACGTCCAGCCTCGAGGGCCCGCAAGAATTCAAGTCACAAAAAGTGATTTATCTTATCGAATAATGTATATATTTCGCCTTCGCTGCTGCAATATTTGCACAGCAGTGTATTAGCAGTGAGGAGACAGCGGCTGGCTCCAAATTGCGTGCTGTCAATTGGCCATTAGATGTCGGCTCTGTCCCGATTAGATAGCGATACATGTACGAGGTGCTGAATCCAATAAACGAATAACCGTTAGGTTGGCGGGTGCGCTCGTGCTGTAGCAGTCAGCTAGTGTCAGGCAGTGGCGGACACATTTCTGCTATCGATATTTATTTATCGTATAGTTTATGGAAATACAAGAACATAAATAGAACCAAAGAAATCGGTGATTAATTCTCACAGTGATTCGAATGTATAACCCGGAGGCCAGTCCCAGTTTGATTGTAAAGATAGAAGAACTGTACCCAACCAACTCCGACCTTGCGCGCGCTATCGTGTGAATTGTAAGAAAGAACAAGAAGAACAAGCACACACTGACGATAATAGGAATCAAAACGCGAACGGAAAAGCCAGCGGTGTCGCGGAACGGTGCAAAGTGGGGTCAAATCAAAGCAGCCAAAGTCCTGCTTACGAAAGTAAACAACGGTGACGGGCCACTACTGCAGGTGGAGCAGCGTCCAGCATCCAGAATCCTCCTCTATGTGTGGTTAAGTGTGTCGACTCCGAGTCTACTGTTGCCCCAGGCCCCAGCAGCCAAAGCAGGGTGGGATGAGGGAAGAGCGGCCTTGTTTATAGGCAGGTGCGCGTCTGTCCCAGCAGAAGAGAAGCAACAGAAGGAGCAGCCTCAACATAATTTAAACCTCGAAGAAAAGTGAAAAACCGAAAAACAGAAGGAGCAACGGGAAACGGGGAAACGAAAACGAGAAAACGAGAAAACGCTTCGATAATTCGGTTCGTTCGGGTCCAGGAGAGCGGTGGAGCGTGGAGAACGGTGCACAGAGAGCGAGTGCTGTGTATGTGTATCCGTGTCCGTGTCTGTGTGTGTGTGTGTGTGTGTGGCAGCATCCTGGAAAAGCAGAAGAGCGGAAAAGCAGAGCAAAGCAAAAGCAACATAATCAAACAGAAATATAAAAACAGAGTTTTCCCCTAGACCCAACTCCTCTTCCAACCCTCCCCCGTCCTGCAAGAAGCCCCAACCAAATCCCCAACCACATACAGCGTGCTGTCAACAATTTCCCAATTGTCGTCGTCCTCGTCGCCATTGCTGTCGGAGCAGTCACCATCAGAACAATCATGGAATGCCGCTGAGGCCGACTCCAGGAGAACCCAGAACCACAGCAGCAGCCCAGCTCCTCCTCGTCCTCCCACAGTGCACTCAATGCCAGGCGGCACAGCACAGGGCTTCGTCACCCCACAGCAGGCTATAGAAATTGCTATAGATACAGCTAAAGATACATGTCCAGGCCCATATCCATGTCCAGGCAGTGATTATCCCTCGCTGTGAGCCAGAGAGCCCCCCGAAATTCCCAGTGACAATTAAGTAGAATCAACTGATCCAGACTTAGTCCCCCGGCCCAGACCAAGTTCCAGAACCCAGCACTCGGATTACCCACAGACTGCAGTCCAGTTCCAGCTTCAGTTTCATCTTAGTTCCAGTCCCAGAAGAAAAAACGCAGCAAGATGGCCACAGACTTTCTGTTCCCCAAAATAGCGGATTGCTCCTATGTGTCCTGTTACTGGTGAGTAGTCAAAGCCATAGACATAGGCATAGGCACAGTCATAGTCGCGAACCTTCCCCACGGCCCCCAAGTCGGTGAAGCAACAGCCACAACAATGCGTACAGGCAGGCCAAGGCACGGATGGTGAGCAGAAGCAAGAGAGCTCGGTAGGGTGGGGGGGGGAAACAACTTTTTCATTAGGCAAAATCATTCACCTTGAAACAACAGGCAGAATATTAACAGTACGCTAACGTTCGCATAACTGTAAATGAAAACTGTAAATAATGAACAGAAGATAGTGGAAAGAGCAAGTCAAAATAGAGCGGTTGGCTCTGAGATTTCTTCTTTTGTGAATGATTATCGCTAGTATGGCAAGTCCTAACCTTGGGCGCATCGCTTTGCTTCTTTTAATTATGTATATTTTATTTTTGTGCGTTATCTCTTTTGGCAACAACATTCGCAGAAGTTCGTGGATCAAGGAGCGTGCGGGCGCTCTCCCCTGTCACTCACTCGCCTATGTGTTTGTGTGTTCATTCCGTGGCTCCTTGCAAGGTATGTTTTGTAGAAGGTACTTACTGTGGACCCACCGAGTAGTTTTTATATAACTAAATAAATCTAATTCTCGGCTGCTATTCAGCATCGCATGTAAATTCGCTCATTTTTCGGTTGGTGTCTCTTCATTCCTCTGCGTTTCTTTATCTTTTGTGATTATCCTTCCTCTTGCTTTGGTTTTGGATTTTGCCTTTGACTTGGACGTCACTTCCCTCGCGTCCTCCGAGTCCTGAGAGGGCGCCGTGCCGCGCTGCGCAGCTCCAGAAATTAGGTCAAACGGTCATGTCTGCCTAACAAGAAAAGCGTGCCACAGTGTGTGTTGGTGCCCCCCTGCACACATATACACATGTATGTGTGTGTAGTAGGATGGTGGGGGCGGAGTGGGCTGAACCTCTTTGGTTCGTTTTTATTGCCACATGAGAGAGGCGCGTTTCGACTATAAAACAAACGACCAGCGGCACCAGCAACAGCAACAACAACAAACCAAAGCGAAAATTAAACATATACACACACACGCACACACACATTCATAGGGCATGCATGTATTCCATCTCTGTGTTGGTGCAATATTTAAAATGCTAATTGCAAAAATGGCGGCACAGACGATGCCGATGACGAGGACATGGATGGTGTAAGGAGAGGTGCAGGGGTGGAGGCAAAGTCAGAGTTATGGCAAGTTGGCAGGCAGGCGCCCCCAAGGAGTAGGCTCCCCAGGCAGCAGCAGCGGGAGTGGTATGAATGGTATGTTATGAGTTTTATGTGAGTCTCCTCCGCCTACACACATTCACACACACACGCACACACGTACACACAACAAAAGCACCAAAAGTAAACGTCATAGCACATAACAAGTTTTTGTACACGCACACATACAAACACAGACACCACATAATGTAGATGTAGAAGGATGAAATGTCGTCGTAGCGTTCTCTGACCTCATCCTCCCCCCCATCCCTAAAGGACCCCCTTCGTGGCGAGCCTCTAGGGCATGTTGTGTTCATTGATTAATTCACATTCGCAAAATGCTCGCGCACTCACATTTGCACTCAGATTCATCGCCAGCGTCAGCGTCATCGCCATTGCCATCTCGCCATCATCTCCTTCCAGTGGGGGGAATCTTGGAATGAATACGCGCACTCGCTCTCTCGCTCTCTCTCGCTATCGCTCTCACACAAGCACACACACACTGAGGCGCCATCTGTGAGTGGAAATGTGCAGCACTCCATCTCTTCTCCTGGGTTCAGTGGGGGCGAGCGAAAGGACGGGGAACTGCAATAGAAAGTTTGTACATTGTCTTCTGGCTCTGGCACTCAGACATTAGCATCGGCAGCGGAATGTGCCATTCGATTATCTGTCGACCTGGGCTGGGGAACACTTCCTTAGCGAGGGACCCAACCACATCCAACCACATCCGCGCACGTCCTCCCACCGCCCTCCCCCCAATCAGTGGCCGGCAGGGCATTAATAACGCCAGCTCACGATATCGCCACAAGCCACTTCCAGTCGCGACTTTTGACCGTGCCACTTGAGTGGGTTCCACTTACCAACCCCCACTCTGTTCGTGGCTGTAACTGTTGATATGGCGAATTGTTGTTCCAAGTTTTCTGCAAGTGAATGCTGCAGAAGGGGTACTCTTACTTATCCCAGAAAGTTGCAACACTCCAAAGTCCACAGTTCCAAAGATATCTGACCATTACTTAACCATTGTTTGGAGAAGTTGCGTAGGTGAGAAAGTAAGGCATGGTAAAGCGTCGTAGAAAGTTAGGTCTGCAAGGGTATTCGAATGCTGACGTTAGTTGCGTGGATAGAGCGTCTATGGCCCTTGTTAAATGCCTCCTTTGCATGCACCTGACGCCTCCCACTTGTTTCTGGCTCGCGTGGGCTGTTCTGCTCCTTGTCCTCAGCCATGCCATGCCATGGCAAGCCAGCACAAACATGCGAGCAACAATGTGTGGCAGCAAAATTGATTGGGATTTATTTGAAAGAGCCATAAACACTGAACACGGGGACAGGGGACTGCTTACAGGGTACAGGGCACGGTTCTTGGGGTCTTGGGGTCTTGGGGACAGTGGCAGCCGCGTGCTAAGCAAAATCGATTGTTGTAATTGGAAAGCCAAGAGGCGGCCTGTTGCTGATAAGCCTCACTGGGGCGGGCACCGTTGGCATTTCGTGCAGGGATTTGGGACCTCGGAAAGTGCACCAGTAGTCAGTCGATTGGTGAATAACCCAAACCCAACCCCACTTACCACTTGCCACTTGCCTATTGCCTCTTGCAGCGAGGAGAACGTGTGGAAGCTCTGCGAGCAGGTGAAGCGGACGCGGCCCGAGGAGCTGGCCACTTGCTATGCGGTGTTCGTGTCCAACGAGGGTCGCACGGTGCCGCTGTGGCGCCAGAAGGCCGGACGTGGCGACGATCAAGTTGTGATATGGGTGAGTTTTTATCTTTCAAATCTATGCATTCAATAGTAACTATTTGTACACACAGGACTACCATGTATTCTTCATGCACAATCCCTCGCCGAACCGCTGCCTGGTGTTCGATCTGGACACCACGCTGCCCTTCCCCACATACTTTCACAAGTACGTGACGGAGACATTTCGCTCCGATCTGGCCCTGCGACCGGAGCATCACAGGTGAGCGCCAGCCACTCAATGAAGAGAATTCTCTATACATATCATTTCCGTACACACTTGCAGATTCTTCAGGGTCATACCCGCAGACACATATCTCATTGAGTTCTCCTCGGACCGGCGGCACATGCGACGGCCGGATGGAAGCTGGATCAAGCCGCCGCCCTCATATCCACCCATTCTATCAAACAGTGAGATGCTCTATTGTGGACTCTGTGAATGATTGATGTACCATTGAGTCCCTCTGTTTCTTCCGCAGCAAATATGCACTGTCTAGGCGACTTCATCTGCATGAGCGCCGGCAAGGGCCCTGGAGCCGTCTACAGCCTCTCGGAGTTCGTGCACAACTTCTACAAGTCGCCAAATATGGTGGCGCAGAACAACAAGTAGAGAGGAGGATCCACAGACACTGTCCAGACACTACACACATCCGCATCCAGGCCCGCGCACCCACGCACCCACGCACCCACCATCCAAGAATCCATGTCCCTTCGGATCATGTCGAGAGATCTTTTTGTCTTTGTGGTGCAGTTGCTTGCCAGATAGACAGTTAATTACCAATTGCATATACATATATACATATAAACATACATATATATATATACATGAATATATTTATGATAATGTATTTTTGTATTCAGGTTAACAGAAGAAGACACGTCAAGCCGCTCGCCGCGCTCCCGCTGTGCTCTTCAGATCATTTGTATTGAAATTCAATTCTAAAGAAATTATAAATCTAATTATACATTTTTTATTGTATGTATTGTATTCGATAAAACACTCTTAGATATATATCATATGTCGCGTATATCATATACTATATACATACATATATACTGATACGAATCGGATCTAGCTAAGAGGGCAGGCCAAGAAATGCGATTTTTATTCGTTACTCTCTCCAAATACTTTTTGTAACCTTAAACTTAAAACCTAGAACCAACAAAAACCAAAAACCCAAACCTATTCGAAGGGAAACGCACCAATTACGAGTTAAACTACAACATTTATAAACCATTTATGGCAACATACACTCATACATACACTAGTAAACGTATCTACGAAGATGTATGTACATATACCGTACGGTATGGATGTACGGATATGGATATGGATATGGATATGGATAGACTACGCTACGCTCTTGATTCTGTAATTCAATTTTTGGCTAAGCTAAAAGCAACCTTAAGCTTAACATTATCTCTAACTCGATCTCTATATCTAAAAAAAACTAAAACGTTGACTCGAAGCTAAAGCTAAAGCTAAATCGAAAGGAATAATTAAATTAATGCTTGTTAACTTGTTTTACCGTATTTATTGTACACTAATTACGTGCTCGTACAACAATTATAATTGTAATTCGAATGTATGTATATGCATACATTATGTATTTACTTTGTATACAAGAAAACGTAACGAAACGAAACGAAATCCGAAACGAAACGGAGCGAAACCGAAGATAATATTGATAATATGTATGTTTGTATTTAGCTAGTTTTTGTACGGTTTGTATGCCCGATGATCCTCAGCAGAGTCCGCATTAGCTTCCCCTCCCATTACCAATTACCAATTACCAATTACTAATTCCCAATTCCCAATTCCCAACCAAATCGGTCCCGCTTAGAGTTGATTTCGATACATTTATCGTATCGTTTCCCCGTTCGATTTACGACTTGTGACGCGCAAAGACTGATTCATTATACGCTCTACGGTAGCAGCAGTCCCTCTCCCAGGATACCCCCGCCCACTCCGGATTATTGTAGTCTTCTTCTTCTTTGGATTGTTTTTGTCGCTAGACGCTCCGCTCCCCCTTAACAATCAAGATTAGTTAACGAAACTCGCATTTATTTTGGATTCACTCGTTTACACTTGTTTGGATTTGTATAAAGAGGTTTTAACTCGATTTGTATGGGGAGTACCGCGTACACCTTAATATTAATAATCCATAAATGGGAATGTATAATACATTAAAGCTGTGCAAAAGTCTCAAAGTTAAACCTAAACTCTTAAAACAAAACAAAAACAAAAACAAAAACCAAAACACGAATACGAATCTTTTCTCAATGTTAAACATGTCGAGCATCTCTACATCTACATATGTATGTATAGATAGATGAGCATAAACACACACATCTCACACATTTTACACAGTTTCAAGTTTATCTTTCGATCATCGTTTATCGCCAAGCAATCGATTGCAGAGCTCACTATTCGTTGATGTAATAATCAATTAAAAACGAACACACACGCACAGATCGATGCTCGGTGTAACGGCCACAGTTTTTCTCTTCCAGTTTTTCTACTAAGAGCAAGCATATAACCAATACGGTACGGGGCATCTAGTCCCCTTACCACATAACGTGCAGATATATAAATATAAGGCTAATCACTAAGTTTTGGCGCCACTCTGTGCGAGGTTCTGTGCGTCTTTTTACTCTTTTTTACATAGCATATACATATGTACTCGTACCATATACATAACTTTGAGTCAGAGTTCGCGTGGAACATGAAACATGGGTAACTTTCTGTTTCAATGGACAAACAAACACACGAACACAGAATGGAAACAGAGCTCGGAGTCCGCTTGGAATCCAATAATGCAATGCTGCATGTGCTGCAAGTGGTTTCAATTAGATCTGACCATTCCCCGCCCCAAATCCCCCCTCCCCATTCTTGCAATACACACATTAGATGAGAACCAACATTCAGAAGAAAGAAACTCTATGCTTTATTGGCCTATGCCTTTGTTAAACTATGTATATTTACATTTATCTTTGTCTCGATTACTACCTACATAACGTACCAGCAACTATCGATCGTACTTTTGATTGTTATTGTAACATATGTATTTTGCAACTCCCTAGTAATAGTACACACACACACCATATACCAGATACATACCTACCAAAACATAGACAAGATGTAATGAAACCCAAAAATATGGAAAAGATACCAATACGATACGATACATAAAGTTTGTGGATCAATGAATTATGATTGTTCCCTCTTGATTCTGCAAAAGCAAAGCGCTAAATGAAATCCAATATATCCAGAATACCACTTAAACTAAACATAAACGATCAATAAATATTCTTGAAATGGCATTTTACAACCCTCCTCGGATCGATATGTTCGATCCGTCTTATCTGGAAGTCAGCGAGTCGGCACATTCATTACGTGTTTGGTTTTCCATGGGCGGCTCGACGTAATGTTTATTTGTACTCTTACTCCTTCTCTCTCCTTCAGCAATTCAGCATTACCAGCCGAAAGACAGAAGTTCTCGAGCCCAAAGCTTCGTTGTTCATTCTATCTTGGGGACGCCACGGCAGAGGAAGCAACAGAACAGAGACACCGTGTGAAATTGTACTTTAGTTTCATGGCAATGAATCTGGAAGATACTTTGAACAAGTTCAACCGCGAACTAATCAACTTCGACCAACACCGACAGAAATACACCGAGCACTACGGCGAGCTGCGGAACAAGCTCTACTCCCTGTGGAAGGCAGAACTGGGCAAGCTGCTCAAGGGATCCACCCTGGGAGGTAACTTAGTAGTACAGCTACAAAACGCTCTTAATTTGTGCGGGAAAACCAGTTGAGTTGTCGTTGAGTTTATACATTTCCTTGTGTCCGAGACTCTCCCTCCATTTGGGATCTGTGACAAGAACGTGGTATCATTGTGTGAGGGGTTGGTTCGTTATGCATGGAAACGCCTCTAACTTCCAGGAAAAGTTCGATCATCTGATAAGATAGGGTCAAAGTTATGGTGTTTGCACGCTGACTTAATCGTTGGGGGTTCCCCAACGTTCCCTTCCCAGGAAGCTATGGCGACAATCTGAAGGTGTCCATGCCGGACGAGTTCGACTTGGTGATTCATTTGGTGTTCCCCCAGAATGACAAAATCATTGTGAGGCCGGATCGCAGTCGCCCAGGTGAGTCTCGAGAGACTTCTCCATAAAAAGATAAACTGATTCTGTGCAATCCAACCAACGCAGGGAACGTGACTCTCGATATGACTCAGGTGATGGAGGCCATCAGCGATAAGAAAAGTCTTATCTACAGGCAGCTCCAGAAGCTGGTCAACGAAAAAAGCTTGCTCCTAGAGGACAGGCTACAGAACTGGCTGCAGAGCCTAATGACTCAGGCGCTGAACAAGATGGATAACAAGATCGAGGTGAAAAAGTCGATCTCCACGTTGAAGTACAAGAAGTCAGGGCCAGCACACACCATCTACGTGGAGGGGCCCTACAAGTACTCCGTGGACTTTGTGCCGGCCATCAAGCTGACAGCCGCGCAGAGCATCCTTGCTGCCCAGCAGAAGGCACATTTTGGCCACACCACGCATTGGGATGCGATTCCCAAACCCTTGAAGCCGCCCCAGCCCGACAACAAATCCTTCCGGGCCTCCTACTACGCCGCCGAGCATGAACTGCTCAAAGACAAGGGCAACCTGAAGAGTGCCGTGCGGCTGCTGAAGAAGTTCCGCGACACCAAGCAGAACCTGGGCAATCTGAAGAGCTACTTCATCAAGACAGTATTCCTCTGGGAGGCCACCAAGCGGGATCGCAGCTACTGGCAGAGTCCCCTCAATGAGATCTTCCTTGAGGTATGCCATTGCATTCCACTGACTCTTTCACTCTCGCTCCCTCATGCTCATTTTAGATGATGCACAAGCTGGCCAATTCGCTGGCTCCGAACAAAGGCAGGATCCTATTCTTCTGGCACCCCAAACTGAATATGATTGCCGACCTGAGCTGCAACCAACGCGCGGAAATGTTCAACTGTGTGTCGAAGGGCGAGTACCGTTTCCACAGGGCCGCCGGCAACCTCACGGATGACATCAAGGAAAACATGCACAGCTCCTTCAGTGCGCAAGCGAAACCCCTTTTGGACCGAGTTGAAACTTTAATCTGCTTCTCTCTCTCTCTCTCTCTCTGTCTTCCTAAAGGTAACCGCGAGGAACGGGGCATAGAGAAAAAGCCTGCCCATCCGAAGCCCAAACTCAGTTCCGAGGTGTGCGAGAAGAAAACTGTGGAGACTCAGACCGAGTGCAAACCTAAACCGAACGCTTCTACAATAGCCAATCTCCAGATGGATGCCAAAAATTTCCCTTCGTTGCCAAAATCAAAGGCTGCCCCCCCTTCCGCAGAAGGTGTGGAACCCGAACCACAACCTAAAGAAAACTGTGGAAGAGGAAAGTCAAGTGAGAAGGGAATTGTAATGCCCAATCCCCAGTTGGCTGTCAAAAGGAACGCAAGCGAAACCAAGCCGAAGGCAAATGGATCCCAGTCGGACACTGCAACCAACTCGAAGCTGAAGCCATCGTCCTGCGACTTGGGCTAGACATGGAAGTGGAGGAGGAGGAGCAGTGCGAGGAGCGCGAGAGTTGAAAGGGTTTTATTAACAGCAAAATGAAAAGAAGTTCGTTCTCCGATCTTAAACCTAAAACGTTGCTCTAGAAGGTGGTGACTGTCTGGACTGGGGGCGTCGTCGTTGTCGTTCTTAAGTCGCTCGCTGCTTACAAGCCGCCGCCGGAGCGGTCCACGCTGATCTTCTGCTTGAGACTGGCAGCCTCCTGCTTCTGCTCCTCCAGCTCGGCCATGCGGGCGAACCGGGAGTAGGCCACATCGCCCGTCTTGATCGCGGACATCATCTGCGGCATTTAAATAGATTTTTAACATTAGACACTGGTTATATCCACCAACAACAATACAAATTGAAAGAGAGGCGCACCTGTAGATACTCGTCGAGCTCCACCTGGCCGTTCATGTTGGTATCGATCTCGCGGAGGATCTCGTGCAGCTGCTCGCCGGAGACGTCGCCCTCGCCGAAGGTCTTGAGGCCGCGGCGAATGTCGTTGATGGAGACATAGCCCTTCTTGTCCTTGTCGATCAGCTGGAAGCGCTTGATGTAGGTCTGGATCTCCTCCTTGGACAGCTTGATGGGTATGCGCTCCTTGGATGTGCGGTTGACCGAGTGTCCCATCTCGTTGGCCAGGAACTCGGTGGCCGCCTTGATCTGGCGCTCCTTCTCTTCCTTGGACCAATGCAGCTCCTCGGCCATGATGTCCACGATCACGGGCAGCGCCTCCTGCGCGGCCTGCACGTTGAGGAAGGCCAGTCGCAGCCGGCGGGCGATCATGTCGACGGCCGAGCAGGCATATTCCCGCACGCCGTAGCGGATCTCGGCGTCGATGTAGGGGAACTCGGGGTGGATGCGGTTGCCGATGATGGGCCAGCGCTTACCCGTCAGCGAGGCCATCTTGGATACGGCAAAGGCGCGGTCGCCGTACGACTTGGCCAGATGCTGGGCCACCTCGCACTCCAAGCCAAAGTCCTGCACCAGGCGGATGTACATGGTCGGTGTCCACCCCTGACCGCCCTCGATCTTCAGGTACGAGGTGACGGCCTCCTCCCGCTCGGGCTTCAGATTACAGGCTACACGTGAATGGAGGGACAGAGAGGTTATCATTAATCGGGGACCAAAGGAACAGAAAGGATGGATCGATGGCAATGCCTACCCTTGATGGCCGCGTCGATGGTGTGCTCGGCCATGGCGCGATATGTTGTCCACTTGCCGCCGGCAATGGTGATGAGATTGGAGGGGCTGACGTGGACGATGTGGTTACGGGCGAGGGACTGGGTGTCGTCCTTGTTGGGGTCGGAGACGAGGGGCCGGATGCCGCTCCAGGCGGACAGGACGTCGCCACGGCGCACCTCCACGTCCGCGTTCAGGTAGTTCTTGATCTCCTTCAGGATGAACTGGATCTCGTCTTCCGTGGGAATGGGGCTGTGGGTGATCTCGCAGGGCAGGTCGGTGGTGCCGGCGATCGTCTGCCGCTGCCAGGGCAGGAAGAAGATGACGCGTCCGTCAGAGGTCGAGGGATCGAGCAGGCCCATCTGGTCGGGGCTGTAGTAGCCGGGCAGTACGATGTGCACGCCGGAGCTGGGGCAGCAGATGCTCTTCACCGTGGGATTGTCCATCTTGCGGATGGAGTCCGTGAAGGGGCCGGCAGCGTTCACGACGCACTTGGCCTTCACAGTGAACTCCTTGCCGGAGATATGGTCCTTGACCTTGGCACCGCACAGCACCTGCTTGCCGGAGCCGTCGTCCTTCTTCAGCAGCTCCTTCACCTCCACGTGGTTGCAGACGGTGGCGCCGTGCCGGGCGGCCGTCAAGGCCACTGCCAGGCACATGCGGGCGTCATCCTGCTGGCCGTCGTAGTAGACGATGGCGCCGCACAGCTTGTCCTTCTTGAGCATGGGGAACAGCTCCAGGGCGTCCTTCTTGGACAGGTAGTAGGAGCTCTTCACGTTGCGGTCGCCTGCCACCAAATCGTAGGCCTTGATGCCCACCCAGTAGTACGGCACCTGCCACCACCTGCGGGAGAGATCAGTGGGTTGGTATTAGTGGATGGGGGGATGCTGGACGCGGTATCGGGTGCATTTACGTGTAAACGGGCAGCATGATGGGCAGCGGATGGGTCAAGTGGGGCGCCGATTCGAGCATGGTGGCGCGCTCCTGCAGAGCCTCCTTCACCATCCGGTACTGCTCAAGGTCTAGCTGTGGATGCGGAAATGGAGGGAGGACAACGATTAGCTCTCTACGGGATGGATGATTCTGCTGAGCGATGAACTTACGCCCAGGATGGCCTTCTGCAGGTACCGCACTCCGCCGTGAATGAGCTTCGTGGAGCGCGACGAGGTGCCGCTAGCGAAATCGTCCAGCTCCACCAAAGCCGTCTTCAGACCTGTGCAGAGGAATCGTTTTAGATGTGCCTCGGGCTTTGTGGCTGCCCCCTGGACTCACCTCGTGTCACTGAGTCGAGGGCACATCCAGCGCCAGTGGCTCCGCCGCCGATGATCAGCACATCGAACTCCTCGCCGCTCATCAGGGACTTGATTTGCTCCGACCGCATGGGCAGTGTGCGCTTCCTCTTTGGCGGTGCGACCGCAGCATTGTTCACCACGCGGGGGGTGTTCCAGTGGTCGAGGCTCCAGGCGGCCAGCACTGAGCCCACGGCTGCACTGGTGGCAGTCACGCCGAACTTGAACATCCGCGAAGACATCGCTCAGGGAGTTCCGTTTGATTGTTGCTTGTGCTGCCAAAAGATCGGAGATGCATTCGAGATTATTGCAAAAATGTATTTGTTTGAGTATTTCTTATATTTATGTTCCGCTCTCCCGCTCTTGCTAGCATCTCACTCCAACGGCCAGCTGACTGAGCGCACGAAAACGAAAGCTCTCTCCCAGCATAGATACGCGCCTCTCCCACTCTGAACGAGCAACAGCTTTGGCCAGAGCTTTGGCGCAAACTTTTCACTTTCCTCGCGTTCTCTCTCTCTCTCTCGCTCTCTCTCTCTGGAAGTTCCATTGCGAATAACCGAATTTTTAGTATGTCAAATCAATACTTCGCCATGGATGGCTACTCGACACAGACCCAGCTGTAGGGCTAAAACACTGGAGACCCACTATGGCCACTATGTCGAATTTTACCTTGAGAGTTCCAGGCCGAAAGCGTTTCGACAGTAGACAGTGAAGCGCAAAACCTGAATAAATTCCACAACGAATACGACGGACCACAACGGGGAGAATGCCGAGTTCGGAATATGTTCAGAACATATGTATGTATTTAGCGGGCGTAACAGAAAATGATTACATCAGAGTTTGAGTCACTTTTCGCGTCGACGGCAGTCCGCGCGTCCGCACTCAGCCAGGGCGAATCGGGTATTGAGCTGCTTACCGTTTGCCTTCTGGCTATTGCTATTGCTATTCCGATGCTGTTGCTGTTGCTGTTGCTGATGCTGATACTGGAAGCGAAACCCTTTCCTGCTGCGCCACTAAGTAGCTCCTCCGTTCGCTCTGTCCGGTCCGTCTCGTTTGCTGGCAGAGTGCACTGTGCAAGTGCAGGTGCAGCTTTTTGGCACGGCACACGGCAGCTTTCAGTGCAAAATGCAATGCTACAATGTGCTTGCTCGTGTTCGGTTCTCCGTTCTCGGTGCTCTCGGCCCACCAACAGCTGTTGTAATTGTGCCACGCCGCGCCCCTGTGGCTCTCGAGTGTCTAGCCAGCTAATTGGCCAGCAAGTCGTTTGTGAATCTCGCACCCAGATACCAGATACAAGATACTCTCGTGCCGCCAAATTACGATTTGCGATGAGCCCCACGTCGAGTGTCTTGGGTGTGCGCTTTGTAACTGTGCGCCGAATGATATTTCTGATTGCTGATTGTTTCGCGCTCTATTCAATTAGGAGCGTTCGGCCTGGTGCTGATAGTGCTGCTGCTGCCCGAGAGCGGCACTCTCCAACATGGAGAATGCTGAAACTGAGGTCGAAAGGGTGACTCTTCCGTGGATTTCCATTGCGGCAGTTTCCTGCACAGTGTCCGTGCCCATGCCCGTGCCCATGCCCCTGCTGATAAGCAGCATAATTTCGCCACTGCTCTACGCAGTAGATCACTGCCGTAGATTCAGTCGGGAATGCGAATTCAATTCATGAATGAATCACTCTGGCGGCAGAACCATCTTGTGCGCCGCTTGTCCAGCTCTTGATCGGCCGACGTCACTGCCGAGAGACGCCGCAGACAGAAAGCAGACGGAGCACTTGTGGGCTCGAGTAGACACAGATACAGAGACGTCATGGGGCGACATGGGCAATGGGTAAGGTCAGTATCACTTGCGCAATTGAGCAAGAAGAGACCACGGCTATTTATACGCCACGAGACCCGCGTGAAACGGATAGACCTACAAATGACCTTGGCTCCCAATCACATTCCCCAATTATAAATTCGGCATTTCACACGAAAGCAAAGCGCGTTATCACGCCGTTTGTAAATGATACAAAGTACGCGTAGAGCAGGTATATATCCGACTCTCCGTAGAGCTTGTCCGGCGGCACAGATACGACCACGGACACGATAGCACGCCGCTGCTGCGTGCAGCTCACCACCCACACGAAAACACCTACATATGTACGTACGTACATACGGCTACTCAGATGCCCGACCACGACTGCGACGGAGACATCGAAAAGCTCTCGTGGGTGCCATAGCTACGGAGGCAGACGATGCTATCTCCATCGGCCGACCATGCTGACGGCGACGCCTTCCCCGCCAGCACGTGAACACTATCAATGGGCTGGCGGGTAGACGTAGGACGGAGCATTCATACACATACACGTAGAATGTGTGCAAGTGTCTCGGTTTGATACTGATACGGTTTCCAGTTGAGGCTCCTATCTTTACCGCAGGCTGGCATGCCCTCTACTGAAGGTAAAAGGTGTATTGTCTGACCCCCAAAATATGGCATATTAGATGGGGAAGATCAGCACACAATGATGGGGTTTCTGTCATCCATCCAAACAGTACTCAAAGATTTA